CGCGCATGTGGAAGAATCGTCTACAGCTGAATCTAACAAAGACATGTTCATGAGAAACAGATGGGTTTCTGATGCCCCATTCCCGCTCAATGGAACGACCATTCCCGCTCAACGGAACGACCAGCATCTGAATGCTCTAGCTATGTGTACCTGGGTCGTGAAATCAATATGATGAATGACTTAGCACCAGAGCTGAGCAGGAGGAAGCGAGCGGCTTGGGGAGCCTTCAAGAACATCGAGGGAGGCGAAGAAGATGGAGAACACCAAGCTTCGTGCCCACCTCTTCAGACCAGGCGATCACCGACTGGATTCCACGGGATGTCAAGCGAACGCCTGGACGACCGCCTATGCGATGGTCAGACTTCTTCGTGAAAGCTCTGAACGAATGGTATGAAGTTCATCGTGTCCCTCGAGCAGAGAGAGTTCATTGGGAAACTCTTGCACGTTGCAGGGGCGAATGGAGACGTTACTGGCGCCCGCTCGAGGAAATCGATGATCAACGGAAGCACAGGTAATACAGGTGAGGGTAGGAACGATTTGAAACCTCCGGCTGTAAAATACATAATAGCACCTTCACAGTCGCACTTCAGATGGTTTCTTTATGACGCACAACGTGCAGCCTGAATCCTTTCTGAGTTGTCTACTTTCTCTCCAAATAGAAGCGACCGACGCCAATCGAGGAAACACAAACCCTTTCATCACTTGGAGCGCATTCCCCAAAACGGCTCACTGCCTACTGTATTCACAAAGATGAGTGCAGCTGCAAGAATGTCTGACTGTGTCTCCAACACTAATTGTTGACAGGGAAAAAAAAAAGAAAGTGGTGAACATCTGTTTATGCAATTCTCTTTTCGTGAAAAGAGTAGTGGATTTTCCCTTCCTGCCTTTAACAGACCATTACTTCACCACTCTAGAAAGTGCCCTTAATTTTTTTTTGGAAACGGGGGGGCACAAAAAGTAGAAGTCAGATGTCAGATTCTCGTCGACCCCCTTCCTTGTGCACTGGAATTTAGGTATAATGCAGGCCTCTACAGCTCCCCTGTATCAGCAATGCAATAACGATAGTTGAGCTAGGCCAAGCCTACCTCACAGCCATTTTGATTGCTTCAGAAGTTGCGAAGTGTTCTTGAGGTAAGACGGAGAATATCTGCTGGTCTTTACAGTACGTTTTGTAGATTATCTGTCCAAGGCATTAGGGATCTCACCAGATTGTGAGTCCCGACTAAATAGAAATTAGTTCGGCCAGGAGATTGATCTCAACCGGAAAGTTTGAGAACTCGTGCCGCTGGTCACCACTTATCAGCTCCCTGCACTCCAGCTTATATTGCGACCACCAGTCCATAATGCCAGTTGTGGTGGCCGAAACAATACATCTTTGCTGGGTTATATACTTCATGCTTAGAGACAGTACGACTTCCACTCGTGGGTCACAAAGTTATAAACAACGATGTTGGACTTGACCCACTGCTGTTGACGTCGAGGTTCTTGACAGCGCCACCGGAATTCATTACCCATCAAAAATTTCATGTTTAATTCAGAGAAACCACGACCTCATACAGCAGAGAAGTAGATTAAGCGAACACGTCATCGATTAATCCAGTGAGTCACCTGATCATCGCTTTTACGCACGCGTTCAGCGTCAAATAATAATTTCGTCTCAATTTTTCATCCTGAAGGCTGCATTAATGTAATGTCATAGACAACTACATCGCCATCAAGCAGTTTTATTAGCAGGAACATATAATGAAGCATCTATTTCGTAGACCCGTGTGAAATGTGGAAAAAAAAGAGAGAGCGAGCTGAATACGAGGAATTCGCAATAAAATATTCGCGTGCAGATGTATAGAATCACAACAGAGCAAGTTTCTGTAAAAAATACCTAGGTGACAAATGTTGAGGAATCAGGTATAGATCATAGCAGCGCTATCATAAAATAGAGATAGATTCCTAATAAATCCCTAGGGATCACAGCTGCGTGAGAGTGATCGCCGGGCATGTTTGCTGTTTTGAGCCGACAAGGAGCGAGTGGTACTTTTGGAACAGCGGTTGGATAAATTGCATCTTCGCTGTTTCCCATGCCCTGCAAATGTTACTCATCAAGCTCTTTTCAAACTGGTGAACCAATGGAAAATAGTGATGAATTGAGATCACATATTTGAGTACAAGTACTTAATATGCAGGAAAGTGATAAATACCATGGGGTACATGACGTCAACAACTGAAACATTCAACCCATGTTCTTGTCATAAGGCGATGCTTGCGACACATATGTGTAAAAGACAAGAACAAAGAAGGGAAAAGGGATCGAGCAATTTAAGGCCTTGCACTTACCGCTCTCTTGATCCGATAACGTCCTTATTGGCTTCCACCTCCTCTTCAATTGAATTGTATCGAGAATCAGATATCAATTTCAAAGATATGGCCATTGCTTCTGAAAAGGACTGTTAGTATCAGTTTTGATCAAAACAAACCAGGCGCATCGCTCGCTGTCGCTAGGCGCTCCACGCTATGTCCGACCCACATTCGCAGGCCCGTCTGGCTTGACCAGGCGCTCTTCCCCTGGGCTAGGTAGAGCGCAAAATGTGCAGAAGGATCATGGGACATTTTTTTGAAGAAAATGTAAAAAAAATCAATTTGAAAATACCCTAAGCCAGTTCAGTTATGTGCATCTCGTACATTGGCTCTTGACTTTCATCCGCTGCAGCATTCAATTAATAATCACAGATTTGCTGAGAGAGTGGGTACAAGTTGCGGTAGTCTGCAGGAGGAGCGATCAAGCGTATGAAGTGGGTGATGGCTCAACAAAGTGGGTGTGACAAAGGTTATAAGATAAAGTAAAGATTGTTTCGAATCGGAACATGATAAGGACCTTCAGGATGGTGGGAAAATTCCAGTGAGGATTCGAGTTCTGGCTGCCGGCTTCTACTACGTACATACACGACATAGTCATTTTCCTATCTGTCAGCAGAAGGTGCTGTCCTATTTTCAGGGTTTACAATATAGATCTGTCGAGTCAACCGATATGTGTCACTGCTTTTTCCCAAATACATATAAAGCTGCGGAAAAAAAATCTGGAAGAAGCCCAGGTCGCGCGCTTTGTAACAATTTTGCCTACAGGTTTCGCTTTGCGCAAGGAAGCTTTGTTTGCTCAAATGAAGTACGCCTACAAAAGCTATTCCAAAAAACAGCGGTAGTCGATTGGGGTTGCTGCAAGGGGATTCTTGAAGAATATTGCAATAACACACGCCGCTACCACCTGGATATTGGGACTTTTCAAAGTTTCTAGAGTTCAGGAAGAATATAGGGCTCAGAAGAGTTGCAAAACGAAGTGGTGGAAGGAAGCACCAGGCAAGTTTGCTCCGCCTTTCGATGAGTGATGATGAATTGGGACTAATACAGTCCTCATCTTTGCGGACCGGTGGGGCGTGTCAGCCAGTATGAGTGTGCACACTGTTGAAGGCCGTTCTCAGATGAAACGCGTATGCGACAAAAGTGGTAGAAAACGAGAAATACGAAGGATACAATAAACGACTTTGGCACCGCGCCAAACGCAGCCGCATTGACACACCCCACC